CATGTGGGAATTGGGATATGTGGGAATTGGAATATGTGGGAATTAGCATATGTGGGAATTGGAATACGTGGGAATTGAGAAATGTGGGAATTAGCATATGTGCGAATCAACATATGTGAGAATTAACATATGTGGGAATTTGAATGTGTAGAAATTAGAATATGTGGGAATTGGAATATGTAGAAATTAGGATATATAAAAAACTGAAAATACAAAAATTTGGAAATGTAGAAATCCCCAGATTCCTAGATCCCACATATCAATTTTCCTCTACGTCTATAGATCCCTAGATCTCGACACGTCCAGCTAATATCCGCAGAAGAATTTCACAATGCAGATGTTACTAGGTCGCTACATCTCCAGAACCTATAGAGCTACTATATCAATAGTAGCAATAAGTTGCAGATACAGAGTTTATTTTAGAAAGTAATCCGCCAATTGCAGAGTCAACACCGATAAGAATCCCTCTTTTACCAGATATTAGCTACATAAATATTTAAAGACCGCGAACGTTAGCTTTTTCGAGCGAGCGGTTTGTAGAGGAAAATTTCGAGTGCTGATGTTTCATCTTGAATTATTATTCTATTACGTCGGCCACGTGAAAAGAGTGCCGGCGCAGTCGAATGTAAAAAGAGGGGGTTGAGACGAGAACGTGGCGGTCGGAGAAGGCGTTATCGAGGGCGATAACGTCGCTAAATTGAACAGAAAATGAGAGCGAATCGGCGAACTCGGCCAGATCTTCCTTCTTCCATCTTGAATCGATTCATTTGAACAGAGAAAATGCACCGTTTGTTGCCTCCACCATTTACCAACGAATATTTAATTCTCTGCGACCAACCATATTCCGATATCTCCGAACGTACATACGTCCATTTTTTTGTTTTCATTTCGCTACGTTAATATTCCATGTAAATTCGCGGAACGAGTCTCGTTTCGAATGCATTACACAAGCATGCTCGAAATAAAAGATCAGCGTTTTGCGAAATATTTTACACTATGAAATTCGGGGATTTGATGCACGCTGAAAGCGTATCAAACGCGCGAATTTTGTGAAACATCATTTGCACGGTACATTTTGACTTGTTGATACAGCGACAATATTTGCAAATCGTTTGATTTACCGATCGATTGATTTTTGGTTATATTTTAACAAATTTAAGTCAATAGTTTCATCAGTATAATTGGTAGAAGTGTTATATTGGATAATATTGTTGTAACATAGTAATTAAGGATAGTGTGGATTTGGAAGATTTAAGATGTGATGCTTGATTTGAATTTTTTACATTTATAAGTTGCGGTTCCAAATTTCTATATATACAAATTTATGTATCTTCAATTGTAGAATTTTGGATCTAGAGAATTTTCACACTGGGGAATTTTGGATCTGTGGTATTTTTGATCTGAGGAATTTTGTGTCTAGGGTATTTTAGATCATAAGAAATTTTTTATTTAGAGAATTTCAAGTCTAGGGAATTGTGGACCCAGGGATTTTTGGATCCAAGGAATTTTGTATCTGGGGTGTTTTTGATTTAGGGAATTTTGAATCTAGAAAATTTGGAATCTAAGGAATTTTGGATCTAGGAAATTTTGAAATTGGGGGATTTTGTATCTGGGGTATTTTTTATCTAGGAAATTTTGGATCTAGAAAATTTGGAATCTGAGGAATTTGGGATCTAGGGAACTTTGAAATTGGAGGATTTTGGATCTGGGGTATTTTTTATCTAGGAAATTTTGGATCTAGAAAATTTGGAATCTGAGGAATTTTGGATCTTGGGAATTTTGAAATTGAGGGATTTTGGATCTGGGGTATTTTTTATCTAGGAAATTTTGGATCTAGAAAATTTGGAATCTGAGAAATTGTGGATCTTGGGAATTTTGAAATTGGGGGATTTTGGATTTGGGGTATTTTTTATCTAGGAAATTTTGGATCTAGAAAATTTGGAATCTGAGGAATTTTGGATCTAGGAAATTTTGAAATTGGGGGATTTTGGATCTGGGGTATTTTTTATCTAGGAAATTTTGGATCTAGAAAATTTGGAATCTGAGGAATTTTGGATCTAAGGAATTTTGAAATTGGGGGATTTTGGATCTGGGGTGCTTTTTATCTAGGGAATTTTGCATCTGGGATATTTTTTATCTAGGAAATTTTGGATCCAGGGAATTTTGGATCTAGAGTATTTTATGTCTAAGAAATTTTTCATCTAGAGAATTTGAAATCTTGAGAATCTATGATCTAGGGAATTTTGATTCCTCGATCTTGTAACGTAGAGAGTTTTGGAACTAGAGAATGTATAATCTAGGGAATTTAAAACTTTGAGAGTGTATGGTATAAGAAGTGATCTAAGGAGTTCGCAATATTCAGAATTCAGAACCTAGGGAATCAAAAATTCAGCATATTTTTGTTCTATAAATCTAGGCATCTAGAAATCTATAGAGTATCTAACATTTTCCCCTAAATGTCGAACATTTTACATCAATACATCACACCGAAATACATCAGTCTATAAGAAGAATAATCTTCCTTTTAGCAATTATCGATAACTCGAAGTTGACTACGCAAAGTTTCGTGTAATAGTTCGGGAGCGTTATACCGATTTCCTTCGGCTGTTACGGCTTTCATCGCAGATGTATTCGCGGAAGAAAAGAAAGGAAATCTGTACGTTTGTCGTAGTAAATTCTCCAGCAGAGAGATAAGATTAGCCGGGGCATCCGGAAATTCATTTTCAGCTCCGGCAAGTTCCGTCGCTGCTCCATTTATTCCGAGATCTGACAGGTAGCTACGATATTGCTCTTAATAGCACTGTCAAGTCGGGCGTCATGCCGTTACGCGTCTCATTTCGGTGGCACAATTTAAGTATTAAATGTAACGCGTTTAAGTCAGCCCCTTTTCCTGCTGCTGACATCCTGAAAATTCGCAATAACGCGCTTTTCTATTCCTTCAGGAAACAGGTAAACGTTGCTCCGGTTATCAGACAACCCCGGGATGAATTTCTATTGTTCCACGTTTTACAATGGAGAGCCGTAGAAAAGTGAATTTTCGACTTGGTCCGATGTAACGAATTTTCAACGACTAAACAACTTCCGCGATTGTTTGCCTCGTTCTGGAAGATGCCCTCAGTCTTTGCGTTTTATGGCTTTTTGTGAAGCTCCCGCTGACGTGTTTGAAAGAAAATGGCGCTGCGTATAAATGTTCTTTTACGTATTTAGTATATTGTTGATACATTAAGTGTCAGACGTTACGAAGACAAAGAACAGAGTTAAATTTCATCACGAATTGATACTCATTTTGCACTACTTTTATGAAGTATATATACACTACTTATAAAAGTATATGCACTACTTTTATAAGTTTACCAACTCCGCCTAAGTCGAACATTTTGAAAATCGTAATTTTACAAAAGTAACAAATGGAAATGTAAAGAAGAGTTGAAACGATCAAGAGAGAAGTTTAACCAAGAATTTCCTTATGGATTCCAGTGCTGACGGTTCCTGGTTATGACGTAAGGGTGAACAGATCCCCCGTGATGGAGGGATGCAATGCTGTTTTATCCTGCACAGCCCGGGAAGATGTCAAGGAACACTTGACAGTCACCTCCTGGTTTCGAGACGATGCCATTCTTCTACCTGGAAGCACGGACACAGGTGAGTCTGCAAGACATAATCTTTATATATGAATTATTAATATAACAGTAAAAATTACCAAGTAGAATGAACCCTTAAAATGAACAACTAAAATGAATAATTATAGTGAACTATTGAAATGAACAAGTGAAACGAACAATTAAAATGAACAAGTAGAATGAACCCTTAAAATGAACAACTAAAATGAATAATTATAGTGAACTATTGAAATGAACAAGTGAAACGAACAATTAAAATGAACAAGTAGAATGAACCCTTAAAATGAACAACTAAAATGAATAATTATAGTGAACTATTGAAATGAACAAGTGAAACGAACAATTAAAATGAACAAGTAGAATGAACCCTTAAAATGAACAACTAAAATGAATAATTATAGTGAACTATTGAAATGAACAAGTGAAACGAACAATTAAAATGAACAAGTAGAATGAACCCTTAAAATGAACAACTAAAATGAATAATTATAGTGAACTATTGAAATGAACAAGTGAAACGAACAATTAAAATGAACAAGTAGAATGAACCCTTAAAATGAACAACTAAAATGAATAATTATAGTGAACTACTGAAATGAACAATTGAAACGAACAATTAAAATGAACAATTAGAATCAACATTTAAACTGAACAATTACAATGAACATTTAAAATAAACAACTGCAATGAACATTTAAAATGAACAATTAAAGTGAACAATTAAAATGTACATTATAATCGTTGTTTTTAGAATACACGATAAACATCTGAAGCAGCTGTCGATCTCCGCAGTATCTTTACTTTGGAACATCGTTAGAGAAACATCAGGTCAAAATGATAGGAATGCATCTCGAGTGTTCTCGTTTCTATAAAATATTTCATAAAGCACGCGACAGAATGCCGTTGTCGAGATATTTCCAAGAAACCGACCCCTTTGAAGCGCACTCTTTTCATGTTTGTCGAATAGTTGATCCTCTCTGTTGAACGTCGGAATACTTCGTTAATATCGATACAATTAACTTAGCGTATCGCTGTTGCTTTTCAATATCAACAATAACGTTGTCTTTCTTTTCTAACAAACTTCTTTGCATAGTTAAGTATACAATTTCCACCTTGTTAACCTGGTAACGTCAATTTTGTTCGAACGGTACCGAGAGATATTTCAATATAGGGATTTTAGCGAGGGATGGTATAGGAATGTTCCATTTTAGAAATGGGGATGTAGAAGATTTAGGGATACAGCGATAGAGGGATATAGGGAGAGAGGAATAGAGGGACAGAGGGGTAGAGGGATCTGGGGATATTGGGATTTAGGGAGATTGGGATTTGGGGAGATTGGGATTTAGGGA